GGAGGTCCCCTCACCACGTACAGGAATCCACGTCGAGGGGAACTGGGGTAAAAGCATACAGATGTAAACCTGTCTAGTCCTGACTGAGCACATCTACTGCCAATGCTTGAGGATGAGGTTTCAGAGACCAAAACAACTGCAGTTGAGAATTCCAATGAGTCACAAAGGCATCGATCTTTGGAGAACTGAAGAGAGAGCAAATCTACTGAAAAATCTCATGATGTAGCATCCATTCCATTGGAAGAATCCGATTGGGTCGAAACAAGTGATATGCAATTAAATTAATCACTCCTGGAACATGACATGCTGAGAGACTGATAAGATGGGATTGAGCCCAGTAAAGAAGATCCAAGGTACAAAAAACAAAGATCTCACAAATATGTGCCTCCTTGACGAGAAATCTGAGATACCACCTTTGAATTGTTGGAATGTATCACAACAATTTTTCCCTTCAAGAGAGACAAACCTTGAACCATTGCCCAGGAGATTGCAAGGAGTTTCAGAACATTGATATGGAGGGTAGACTTGTCCTGACCTTGAATATAAGTTCCCCATCCCTGAAGACATGTGTCTGTGAAAAGATGGATCTCAGGACAAGGTGGTGGAATGGGTATCCAAACAGCAGTGTTGTTCTGATCCAACCACCATTCACAATCAACGATGTTGCTCCTGAGTAATTAAACAGGACCAATCCAAAGGATCAGAATGCATGATCCATTGGTGGTGCAGTGATTGCTGAAGGGACCTCATATGTGCTCATCCCAAAGGAACAAGAGGCTCAAGGGATTCCCACATCCCCAAAAGAGAAAACCATCCACACAATTGGAGAAGGAGACACAAGTAAGAGTGTCATGGCTCTCTCCATGACTTGAAGCTTGATAAGGGTTGGTTGAGCACAACATAAGTGAGTATTGAAAAACACACCCAGATGAATGAGACATTGCATCAGTGACAAAATAGGTTCCTCCAGTCTGATAAGGGAGCCCACTTTTGTGGCTTCTGAAAGGAGAATCTGAGAGTGTTGTTCTATAAATTGACAAGACAGTGCCAGAAGGAGCCAGTCATCCATATAATGATGTATGCACAGGGCCAAGGAATACAGATGATGAGAAAAAGCTCAAACATCTCTGCAGAAGACATAAGGTGCTGATGCATGACCACAAGGTAGAGACCTGAACTGCAGCAACTGACCCTTCTACACAAATCTGAAAAACCTCTGGGAAGCTTCCACTATGGGAATATGGAGATATATATTGGTAACATTGAACTTGGTCATCCAGAGCCCAGGCACAAAGTGCCATCATAGGTTGAGAAAAGATTCCATTGTAAAGCGAGAAGTACCTAAAAATTGGTTGAGTCGAGACAGATGGATGATTGGATACCAATCTCTTGTCTTCTTGGGTATAGCAAATAAACGGGAATAAAATCTCTGAAGAACAGAATCAACCCTCTCTACTGCCCTTTGACTAACAATTCTCTTACAGCCTGAGAACAAAGTTCCACTCACCATGGATCTGTTGGAGGTGAAAAGGCAACAGGTTGTGCAGATAATGGTGGAGGTGATGTAAACCGAATGACCAACCCTGAAGCCAGAATATGGAGTACCAATGGATCACTGGTGAAAGAACTCCAGATGTCCAGAAAGTGATGTAATCGTGCTCCCACTGCTCCCTCACACACAGAATAGTGACCGATGCTAATGTCAACACTCTTCCCAAGTCGAAGATGCTGAAGAATTATGGGAACCAATTGACCTGTAAACCTAAGGAGGGGGTTGGGAAACACTACAAGCTGACACTCCCAAATTAGTGGCAGAAAGGCGAGAAGCCAACGATGATAAGGAAGAATGTAAATGAGCTGAATCAATTCATGATTCTAACGTATATGGAACTATGGCAAACAACATGAGATGGAGAAAAGGAGCTTCCTGTAACTTCCTGAGAGCAGAAGATGGTAAACACACGCTTTCTAACAAAGCGTCTCTACCCAATAAATTCCAACAACAAACAAGCCAGGAAACCAGAGAAAGAACTGAAGAAGACAATCTGATTGAGTCAGACATCAGCAAAATCCCCAACTCATCCTCAAATTGCTGAATGGAATGTTGATAGGCTTCCGGGAAAAGTTGGATCGAAGATAAATACCTCAGGACAGTCATGAGAGTAAGACAAATCCTAGAAAACCGTGATCTGTTTAAAGTGATCACAGGTTCTAACCTAGACCCCCACAGGTCCAAAAGGGGGTCCATTTGTGAGAATCTAAACATACCTCCTCCTGGCAGTGATAAGCCAAAGCATACTGTTCCAATAGATGTGGGGGACAAAGCATAGCTGTCCCATCATGTAACTGAGTGGCAAATCTCCCAGCACAAACAACAATATCAGGATGAGGAGGAAGAACCAAGTAGTCACTTGCTGTCCTTTCTGCCAACAAGGAAGAAGTAGAGTCAAATGCAATAGAAGAGCCCCCCAAAACCTCACAAACTCAAGTAACCAACTGAAGAAAAGGGGCTGGAGGTGGCTGATCAAGATGATCCTCTGCAAGTCTAAATTCTCCCTAGCTGGTCCTGGGTCATTTGCAAAAACCGCCTCATGACTCCCCAGAGAGACACCCTTGGTCCGCATATATGTATTAATGCCAACCATGTTCAAAGACACAATGTAAACTGTGTATAATCACAACACTCCTGTTTACAGACACCAATGCCAAATGCTTTGTTGAGAAAAAGTTATTACATTATCTGAATGAGGTTCTTATACACAGTGCCTAGATTGAGGGCACATCAAAGTTGGTTGAGAATTTTGCAAATTAGAATTTGCCAAGGGTAATCGAGTGAGGTATGAAAAACTGGAGGAAAAATTTTTACTGCTTAGATGGGCAGAGAGTGGAAACCCTGGAGACCGAGAAATAGCTATAGTGTCAACGGAGGTAAGTATGTTTTGGAATGTATATTTTAAAGAATGTTGCATTTGTACAAATAACATTTTACTGTACTTATGTATCTAGTAACAAATAATTAAAATTCTTTTGCACATCAAGTAATCTGAAACTAATATTAAGTCAAATAAAAATACCTACTTTCATAGCTGTATTATAACAAGCAAAAGACCTACTTACATATGACAGATTTTAAATTTTCTATCCTTTATCCTTTTTGAAATTTTAATATCACATCTTTCAGGCCTTTCTAAAATTTCTAAACGAGTGGTTACATTAACCTTCTAAAGTCCATGAAAGGAAAAACATCAAGAAACTGAATATCAGTTTCAAAAGAAAATGAAATTAATAAAAAGCTGTTATAGGATTACCCTGTCTTGTAATTAACGTTGCCAAAGTTTACATTATTTGCTGACAAAAATTATTAAAAAAATTACTCTGAAAAAAATTCAACAGAACCAACTTGCTAATAAACTTAAGTGAAATTTAACAAAATAGTTTCAAAAAAAGATAAACTCAGCTAGAACCACAAACAAATACTAAAGAATTATTCCACAAAAGACTAAATGTAATCACTAGTGTTATTTCCAGGAATGATGACTTTGATTGCATGCTATAAAAATTTATAATGTGTTGCATCTATATCTCTGGGTTTACATCCAGTGATTTCATAAGCAAAAACAGCTCTTTCAATCAGTTTGATTCATAAACATCTGAAACCAGTTTGTAGAAAAGCAGAAGCAAAGGCTTTTAAATGGTGATCACTGTGAAACTTAAGTAAGTAGTTAGAAGTTAATTCATGACATACAGGTTATGCATCAACTAATTGTGCTTTGATTCAAATGTCTACACTAGAAGTATTCATCTGTTCATTCTAAAAGAAATACATTTGGCATGTAATAAGTTACAACAAATTCAATATTTCATGTTTCTTTCTTTGACTTAGAACCTGTGAATTATCCAATGCAGGCATAAACTGGGATCTGTAAAAGTCAGTGTATTCTATATAAGAAATACTATGTATTTTGACAAATCGTTTTAGTTATCATTGACTTAGGAAAACTTTAGCAATGGACATAATTTCTTTTTATTTTCATAAAGTGAAAAGTAAGAGACAATAATTTGGGATAAGATTATCTTAATATAATACAGAAATGTACTTTCTGTAGTACTTAACACAAACCATTTATTAAGACAATGCATAAAAAAATAACAATAAAATAAATAATAAATACTAAAGTATTAAAAAGTTAAATTACATTCCAGTGTGTTAAAAACTAAAGGAATAAAACATACATTCTACAGTGATGTGTCCAACTCTCTCTACATATCCTCCTGTATTTTCAGCTCGGCAATAATACAGTCCATCATCTGATCGAATAGATGAGAGTATGGTCATTTTTAGAACAGTTTCCTCCCCTTCTTCATAGGTTTCTACTTGTCCTCTGTCATCCTTATTAGAAGGAAAATATGTTTTAAACATAACAACCATCAGCAAAAAATACAGATCATTAACCTTATCAAAAAATAATGATAGGAGATCTTTCTAATATACATTAACATTACAAACCAGATGCAACAGTGGATAAAAATAATATTTTATTTGTATTTTGGCTGTGTGCATCAAATCCTTGCATCCATAGTCCAAGCAGAATAATCAACTATGCCCCACTCAGTCTGCAAAGTTGAGAGAATAAGCAGCAAAAAATCAATTAAGAATACAAATTTTCTAAACTACTTTTATCTATTTTTTTCCTACTTTTTAGATACAAGTTAATTTAAAATAAAAAAATACATGAAAATAACAAGTTACTGTACAAATTTATTCTATTAGATATACCTTAGAATTTTTAAAGTCAAACACATCTATAACAGTATAAAAATCTTCTATGTAATCTGTTTTAATAACACGCTATCCTTTTATAGTAACGAAAATATTTTATATTAATATGAATAATGTGTGCAAGTTCATTTCATCAATAGGCCGCAGATAAGAATGCACATGCTAAATTCTTCTTTCATTTTTTCTGCAGTCATTTTAACTTTAATGAAAACTACCTGGTGTTGAACTGGACAATAAACAATGTATTCAGTTCAAACTCTAGTCTGAATTAAGTTTGGAGCATTTTTCTTTGTAATACCTAAAGATATGTCAGAAAATACCCAATCTTTTCATAATTTACTATGAAACATTTTTTGCACTTCATGTAAGAGTTTACACAAGTGAAAAAAATATTTAGAAAAAAACTGAAAGTGTAAGAATGGATGCACCAAAATGTGAGCAAACAAGGTAGAAATGTGCATGGTATATCTAATAAAACTTCCTCTGTACAACCTCACAAAGGGCATGTCCAACACCCAGTCCATGCCTACTTTGTTTATTCTTTCCATCCTGTAGAATAAGCCTGGAGGACCAAAGAAAACTTCGTTATGCAATCCTTATTAATTATGTCATGAGTTACATATTTAAAATTTCTTCCCAAACAACTACAGCCCAAGAATTATTTTGCATTTTGTATCATTTTTTTACAAGTAACAAAGTGTTAGGTTTCAATTCACAACTGAAAAGGTTGAAATAGCCTGGTGGTTAGGATGCTTGAATCATAATCACAGGTTCGAACTTCATCATAGAACATGCTCTCCATTTCAGCTGTCGAGTGTTATAATTTGATGGTCAATCACACTGTTTGATTAGAGTAGACCAAAAGTTGGCAGTGGGTGATATTAACTAGCTGCCTTCACTCTAGTTTATCACTTCAACATTATGGACAGCTAGTGCAGATTGTCCATGAGTAGCTTTGTGTGAAATTAACAGGCAAACAGAAGTGAAAGGAAAACAATAATGTTACTTTTTTCTCTACTACGTATAATAAATTGATGTTATATTATGAGCACAGAAAAGAAGTAACTTCATAATAAATAATGAAAAGAAATATTGTTTTTCTGCTGCACTGTTAGTGTTGAAACATAAGTTGTAAACATGGATGAAAAAAAAGTGATAAACGGAGTTTATACAGGAGTGTGTTGTCTGTCAGTCACTCAGTAAAAACTAAAATGACATCACAGGAGGGATGTTTAATGTTGCAATTTGTACTGTTGTGACATCAGTAAAATGTGAACATGCCATGAATCATGGGAAGAATTATGCATTTTGAAGGCTAGAACACAACATGACATATGAACTTGAAAAACAAGATTAAAAATATTTGTTACTCTTAATTTTGGTTTTATTTACTCTTGAAACAGAACACTTTCAGGGATCCTGCGGAAGTATATTTAGCAGTAACTTACAAATTATACTAAATCCACTTATTAGTATATCTGTTAATCCATATGCAGATATGGTTCTGTAAACTTCTGAAAACAATTTTGATAATACTTAAGTAAACATATTTTACAAAATACAAACAACTAATATGTAAAATATATTATTCAACACCTGCCACACGAGCGATACATTTGTCAACAAACGAGAATTTAATAATAGGCTAGCATCTTTCAGTACAGAGACTAGAATGGTCAACAGTGGGTGGGGATGTCATTCTGTAAACCAGTGATTTAGGGTTATTTCGATAGATCTTAATGAATGAAGCTTAGCACAACTTCTAAAATGCAAAAAAAATTAAATATTAATGAAAATAAGGCATGATGAAATCTATATGGATTATACTATGGTGGTACCATACTAGGTTTTATACCATCCTTCTTATATTTACTCTTCATTGCAGAAATAGCATTTTTAATTTGAGAATCACTAGGGAAATCATCTTATAAAGCATCATGCATTTGCCTCACCACTGCATCTCTGGGCTTTACTGTGCCTTTAGTTTTGCAAAATGTTGAAACTAATGATTTCTTATATATGATTCCAATCCCCCTTTTTGAAGATAATGATACTACTGTTCCCATTTTTTTATGTTTCTCTGTCAATGCAGTAATTAATTGAAAAATCTTCTATTCAGCTAGTATGTCAAAGTATGTATTCTAAGTATTCTATGTTTGTCAAATTGACTGGGATATCTTCAAATAAGTTCTTACCTCAATCGACTTGAACCCTAATTTAAATGATCACACTGACAACTAAATATAGAACATTTCAACCATGATTCATTGCTACATCGTTTTATTTTAGATTTACAAGTTGGCTCTCATGGTCTCGGGTATGGTTCAGCGACCTAGACTTCAAAAATAGTGGCAAACATCTTTTTTTTCTAATAAAAACAACCCAAACCTTTCCAAAATGACTTTTTTTTTTATCCACATCAAGATGCTAGGCTGTTAACATGATCTTGACAGAGAAGTACAAGCATTGGCTAGTATGACAATGGAACCATTATGCAGTAACCACAGATGAAATGATAATTTATTGATATTTTCTAAGCAAAGGTACAAAAATAATAATCAAAACTTTTCCTCTTCCATTTTTCAGTATGCCAGTGGTTAGCATTATTGTAACAATATGTTTCATATGTAGTTAAACTATTCTAGGTATTCAGTACACAAAAAATATAAATTTGAGATAAAAAGCATTTCCTCACGTGCTAAAAAATACAAATTTCACAAAACACATTTAATTTTTAAAAAACAAAGAAATTAGAGAAAGTTGACAAGTATTTTGCTAACCATGTATACTGTATTTCATGTAAATAAATCTTTCAATTAATCATATGTGTACTGTCTGGTCAAAATGCATGTCATGGCATTTTACAATTTCTTTCAAAATTAGATTAGCAATGTATATTAATAAACTTGGCATTACAACACAATATTATCTACGGTTTAATTTCTTAATTTCAAAATGGAAACATTAAAAAGAAAAAAAAATCCTCAATCTTCAATTCTCTGTATCATGCATCTTGTCTGCACTAGAAACTGTCCATTTTAGATTTTCTTTCTATCCTTATATCATATTGTTTCCTGAAGGCCAACTATTAGAAACATACACTATAGATATTGACAAGCCAGAATAAAAAAACATAGAGCCTCCTATCTTCTTACTTTACTGAGATACAAAAAATTTCTAACCCACAAGACTTGACTCTTCAATCTCATTCTGTCTTTCAAAATGAATGTCAGTAAATCTCTGTAACATTTCTTCTGTATTATTTAGAAACAATTGAAAGAACAGGATTTTATTTACAAGTTTCTTTGTAGTTATGTCCTTTTAGTTCCCATAAGTAGATATTTAGCACCAGTTTTATTGTTTGTGTTTTTCTGCTCTAAGTAGCTAGTAGACTTTTATTTAACCTATTTGTAGCATAGTTGGAAAGTCAGTTAAATTATGCTAGCCTTGGGATATTCTATTCTAGTGCCTGATACATCTTTTGTGTTTTAAAAGGCATATTTGAAAGGAACATTAATGAATTTGTGAAGAAACAACTCAGTATAAATAGTAGTGCCAAGGAAGTCTGTTCTTATGCACAAATTATTAAAATAGGCTTCAACTCTAATGTACATTCAAAATTTCTTGTATTTTATGTACATTTTTAATTTATTGTGTATATTTTTTAACAAAAGTAACTAAAATGTACTAATTAGAAACTCGTGAGGCTAGATAAAAAAATTAAAACAATTTTATAAGACCAGCCCAAGCTAACAGTGTCACATTATCATTTATTTGTTTTACACCAACGCCATATTGGGCTATTTGCTTTGTATACCAGAGGGAATCGAATCCCAGATTTTAGAATAATAAGTCTGTAAACTTACTGCTGTCCCACTGGGGGACCACATTATTGTAACCCCATTATCTACTGAGATATGGTCTAAAATGCATTGTAAGGTAACAAGATTAAAGCAAGCAAATGTGAAAAGATTAAATAGCTGAGTGTGTTATGATAAGTAACTGTAATTATTTGTTACAATATGCAGCCATTCTTGAAAAAAAAAAACATATTACTTTTTATATTTCATATTTTTCTTTTTTTCCTCTGAACATTGATGATTTCACAACTCTAGATTTTAGAGGTTTTCATCAAAGTCTGGTTTAGGATAACTGCAACTCTATAAAAGACTTGTTACAGCCTAAATTTTTCATTGTTTACAATTTAGAATGCTCCTAAGAAAGAAGTTTTTTGTGCGGTTAATGTTCAAAATAAGTGAAAATACAAGTGATATGTCTGTACAAGTAAAGACTTTTTAAAAAATTTGAAAAATTGAATCTTGTTTATAGACATAATTTCTTTTTCTAAAATTGACTATATATAATCATAACTATTTAAGTGTTAATCTAAAAATTTTAAATGTATATTTTCTTGCTCTTTTTATTTTCATATCAATCATATTATTAGAAATTAAAGATGAAATCTATAAAATCTGGATTACAACTTGACTGAGATAATCATTTACAAAATATATGAACATTACTTTAACTTGGTTTGACTTATTTATGGTTACTTTAGAGTCATATGGTCGGCACTGATTACTTGAAAATACTATATTATCATTATTATG